TCCCAATGACAATAAAGAGTAGGCGACAGACGGGTCGTAGAGGAGTATAGTGGCAGCGTTTGACGAGATTTCTAAAAATTATAAAAAATGAAATCTAATAAGACAATAAACTCTAAAAACTATAAGGTCCAATTTTTAAAGGTTCGGGCTTCTAAAAAGTAAAAAAAACAGTGACAAAGTCGCCGATGTTTTGGCGAAACTTCTAGAAAGTAAAAAAAAGAACCTAAACGATAATTATATTCAATTTTTAAAATACCAATGATAATGAAGAGAAGAGGCAGTGGACGGCTGTAGAGGAGTATAATGGCAGCGTTTGACGAGATTTCTAGAAATTATAAAAAAGAAACGCAACGGGACAATAAACTCTAAAAACTATATGACCCAATTTTTAAAAGTTCAAAGGAGAATGAATAGAAACAACGGTAGATTGAGCAAGCAAATAAAGAAGTATATGACAAAATTAAAGGGTAACAACTGGTGCGACTTTTAAAAACTATAAAATTAAAAACACGATGATGATAAGGTTTGGTCTTTCAAAATTTGAAGACAACGAGATAACTATTTAATAAATTTTAAGTAAATTTATATTAAAAATTATATAATTTTATATAGGTGCTAGCCGTGCAATTACGCGGGCCACCCAGCTAGTTTTTAATATTAGACTGAACTTTTGAGAAAACCAAAAGAAAATTGGCCGTAGTCCATATTAGCCCCGTTTGGTTGTAACGAAGGTGAAGTTTAAGTAATGGAAAATAAGAAATCTATTAGTACGTGATTAATTAAATTTTAATTATTTTAAATTTGAGAATATATTTATTTGATATTTAAAGTAGCTTATACATGCAAAATTCTTATACACAAATGCTAACGAGCTAAAAACTCTCAGAAAAAGAACGTGGCCTATGTTCTCGCGTGGCAGGTGGATTAAAACGTGGCGGCTTTGGACGGAGAGGGACGCGCGCGCCACCGGGAGCTCGAAACGTGTCCAGCCTATTCCCCCACCTAAACAAAGTACTCGTCCACCCACGCGACACGGCGCCTTTTCCTTCCAGCACCTCTCTCTCTCTCTCCTCCCACCTACGCATACACAGTCACACAGCAGAAATGAATCTTGTACGACCGAGCCGTACGATTTGTGTCCGACCGAGTCGTGCAACCAATCACTGAACTTGTTTACTATCATGTGGGTCCAGACAAACAACATATATATGCTTATACATACACTAGTCGGATGGATGGGTCAGACGTATAGACCGAGTCATGCAACCAATCACTGAACTTGTTTACTACCATGTGGGCCCAGACAAATAGCATATATATTTATATGTCCGACCTATCCATCCGACTAGTATATGTATAAGCATATATGCTATTTGTCTAGGCCCACATGATAGTAAACAGGTTCAGTGATTGGTTGCATGACTCGGTAGAACACAAATCATGGCTCGGTCGTATATCAAGATACCAGCAGAAATACTATAGTACTACTCCTTCCCTAGCCTCTACTAGTCCTCTGAATCCTGCATTGCTGCTGCCATAGTGTCAATCCTCTGATGAATTCTGAAGGGAGTTGTCAATTCTGGGCTCGTGCCGCTCTCATGATCTCATCCGATCCGGTCGTATACCCACCCCCCATCTGCTGGCTTTTGGTGGTCGCCACTCAGAACATGACACGCAGTAGTACAAACGCTGAAGCTCTGGCACGAGAAGGAAAATACGGGGTGGATTGGCTGTGTTCGACGGCCATTCTTTCCCACCCACATCTCTCGTTTTTTTCCCTAAACGATACGATTTTTATTTTAAAATAATTATAGAAACATTGCTTTAAAATAATATTAACCATTCACTAATGACTCGTTCTGTCTGGTCCTAGGTGTACGAGGGATTAACTCCCAACCTCAATAGCACAACATGACCGCACACGTAAATAGAGGGATATATTAATATATGATTAATTAAATATTAGTAAACAACTTAAATAATAAATTAATATGGTTTTAAATCAACTTTTCCGTAGAAGGTTTTTTTAAGTAAAACATATCGTTTATATAATTTGATATAATTTGAAAAGTGTGTGTATGTAAAATGAGTGACGAGAGGTTGGAAAAATTCACATAAGAAAGGCAGGTGGGGGTGCATCTGGATATCCAGGCAGAATTAGAGATATTTTTCTAAGTGCTCTTCTAAAAATGTTTGTAAGATTGGAGATATCTTCCATTTAAAAAAATGTTTGTAAACTAAAAAAATCTTTTAGAAACCACTTATTATATGAAATGTACAACCGAGATTTGTTTAGCTATATAAAAACATTGGTTTGTAGAATACAGTTTCATTCTCTCCATTGCAAAATGTTGATATTTTGTTGTTCAGGTTCATAGTTAGAAATAATTACATTTCCAAACGGGGGATTATAAGATTTTTGAGGATATTGTTTAAGATAATAAAGTCAAATGATGGAACCCACAATTTATGTTCTTTCATCTATATCACATATACATTATAGTCTCTGCTCTCGACCAGTCGACCTTAATCTGGGGCACACGGAGAAAAAAAAAACTCTACTCACTTGGGTTCAGATAACACATGCATGTTGCAAAAGCATAAATATATTCTTTTATTTCCTATGCTCTAGCTATAGGGCTTATTCTGTTTGGAGGAATTTTAATACATAGAAATAGGAAACGTAAAGAAATATAAATGAATGCACACATCAATCTATTGGAATTTTTCCGAGAGGTTTGAGTGGACAAAAGATTTCATATATTTTCTCTCTACAATTTGTAGAAAAGAAAAAAAATCCCTTTGGTTTTCTTGTACGACATTCCTACATAATCCTTTATTTTTTCTTCAAACCGAATAGGCGTTAAGATTGCCCATAGCAATATTCCTTCTTGACACCTCTCCCGATACCTAAAGGTAGAAAAAAAAATACTTTATTTCTTAAAGTCAGTTTTCATGCACATTGTGCTTCCTAAGCTTTGAATAGCCTTCAGTTTTGTGTGGGTCAGTTTATTTCGGTTTAATCTACACAAATGCGCAACTAGATTTTTTTCCTAGCTTTGCTAAACATTATACATTTTGAAAATTCAAATGCATTTTGATACGTCAGTTGTCTTCAATTTTGAAAGTTAGCAACTTAATTATTTTTTAACAAAGTATAGTAATGCAAACATGCATATATTGGGTCTAATGAGAAACAAATTGTTTTTTCATTTAAAATATTTTTTTGTACAAATTATACTATTTGTTGTTTCTAGAAAAAAATATTTCAGTCTTTAATGCTTTAGAAGATGCGTGATTTTTCATATGCCATTTGCTATTCTTTTATATGAACTACACGCCATCTTGGGTTTTTAATAGAGGAAGCTGTTAACTTTTCGAAAGATGTTTGAGCATTCATTTTATTTAAAAATTTTGTGTAAATGTGTGAAAATGTAAAGTAACTTTAATAATAAACCAAGTTATAGAAAATAATAATGATACAATGTTTTAAATAAGATAAATGATCAAACATGTGATAAAAAGTTATATAATTTATTAAAACCCGGGGATATATTTACATTGCATCCCGTAGGGTAGATTGTACATTGTAACATGAATGCTATTTTTCCAATCATTAGAAGTGAATTACTTGTAATTATCCATTTATAAATAGCTTTATTTTGAAACGAAGGATGGACTTTCCTACTTCATCCATCCCAAAATATAAGGTGTGCACATGTATCAAGAAAGTATGTAAAAATGATTGAGAGATATTACGATGTTAAGGAAAAAAAATTAAGTGAAGAAATTAAATGAATAATAATTATGATTAGTTGAGGAAAGGGGTAAATAAAAAAAATAAATTTATTTCAAGACAAAGGTACTAAAAATAGCTTTAGACCCTGTTTAGATGAGACTAAAACTTTTAATTTTCTATCACATCGGATGTTTGAACACTAATTATAAATATTAAACGTAGACTATTAATAAAACACATCCATAATCTTGGACTAATTCACGAGACAAATCTATTAAGCCTAATTAATCCATGATTAGCATATGTGATGCTACAGTAAATATTCTCTAACTATGGATTAATTAGGCTTAAAAATTTGTCTCGCAAATTAGCTTTCATTTATGTAATTAGTTTTGTAAGTAGTCTATATTTAATACTCTAAATTAGTGTCTAAATACAGAGGTTAAAGTTAAGTCTCTGAATCCAAACACCACCTTATTTTTTAGGACGGAGGTAATATAAGATTGCTAGTTTGACTACTCTCTGGTTAAAAAGCCCAATCTAGAATAAGGTGTAACATTATAATCTCATTCTAGGTTGTTTTTTTTATATTAGGTTGTTTTTTTTTAAGGAAGAAGAAACACGTCTGACGGTGTGAGGCAGCAGCCGATGTTCTCACAGAAAAAAAAGCGATTTTGCTATATCTCACTCGAAAGATTTTTTCTTATCTCTCACTCGATTTTCTCACTCAAATTTACAGTGCATTTTCTTGTAAGTTACAGTGTAATTTATGAAACTTACACTGTAACTTTTGTAAGTTACACTGTAATTTTTGAATCTTCACATGTAAATTTTAAATTTTGTATTGGATTTGGTCTTTTTCTTGAGGATATGGTAATTTAATGTTCATTATGGTGTTTCTTAATTGCTTTTTGCTTTTTATTATATCTATCGGATTTTAATACAAAGATTAAAAATCTGTGTGATACGATTATAAAAATCTTTCGAAAGATGTATAGGTACTCCCAAAAAAAAAGAGAAGAACCAGCGGAGGCCCAATCGGTAGCCTTATAAGTCTCGCAGCACAAAATGGGCCGCTACTTACTATAAGAATGTACGGGCCGAAAAGCCCAGTTCGTCCCTCGTGCCGCCTCTCTCCGGGCCGAAAAAGCCCAGCTCGTCCCTCGTGGGCCCACTCCGCCGCTCTCCTCTCCGTCAAGACGGTTGGCGTTTGTTCGGCAGCCGGCGGTTGTCACGGTGGGACCCACTTGCAAGTCGAACGGGAAATGGGAAAAAAAAAATCTCTCATATCCGACTGACTCCGAGAAGTCCGGTGACGAGAGAGATCGAGAGAACACTCGCCTTAGCTCTTCTTCTTCTCCCTTCTCTACGGGGAGTTGCGGCTCCGGCGGGCGCGCGACGAGAGGATCGCCGAAGAGGTTGGTCGCGCCCCCCCCCCGGCGCAAAATCGCTCCGATCGATTCCATTTCACCCCGATTTCTGCTTCGGATTCCAGTCTGTTGGTTCCCCCGCTTGAACTCGCAGGAATGGTGGGATTGGGGGTTTCGAGGGGGCGCGGGGATTAGTAGTCCCAGGGTTTAGTGGAGATGCGGTGCTGAGGGTCGGAGGATGCTGTGGCGGGGGCGGTTGAATCGCGTTGCGGCGGAATCAACAGCTTGGTGCGGCGTGGTAGCATTGTTCTGTGTTGGCTGGGGATAGGTGCAGGGTGGTTTTCAGTGGAATCACGTATTCAAGGCTTTTTTTATATATAAAAAAACGTGGTCATGGAATCAATATTATCAGCACTTTGTAGAGTCTATGCCGAATCTTTTGTTGCTTTTGGAAGAATATATGATGTCAGTTGTTAGTGATTTTGCACTGAGGTGACTGGTTGAATTAGGAAAGGTCTAAGCTGCCTGCTATGAGGTAGGCAAGAAGGCTGCATGAATGATGAATCAGTCAATATCAGATCACTCTTGCTGGCTATTTGGTCCCAACTTTTACTAGTTAGATAATGTCTTAACGAATGCTTCCATGTGTAATCTATTTGCCATAGTAACAGGGCACTAACCAATCACTTTAGCTGCAACTTTAGGGTTTATTATGTTTCCATGGCTTGATGGTAACATTGTCAAACTGATCCTTCGTGTTGTGCAATATAAGCTGAACTGTTGCTACACCTCTCGGTTTATACTATATTAAAACCTTCAGTCCTTCGCAATTAACTGCTCTGTTATACATTGGGGAAAGTGGAGAAGAACTTTGATTAGGAATTTATTGCTTTCAGTTACTCGTGGTGCCTTTCAGAATCATGGCAAACAATATTCTGCATTTGACAGGCATAAATGCCCATCATATGTTGTTCTATGCTCACATATTGCTAATATGTTTATTTTGCTTTTGGAATCTTTTCAGTGCCCAGAACTGAGATTTTGAGTTTCTAATATCGATTTTCATTCCAAGGGAGAATTGATATACATATGAAACTCTGAGAAGGATGGGTTATGGCATGAGTAGGATGGAGGAGGAATACAGCGAGCATGAAGATCAGAATAATGGTGGATCTAATTCACAAGTGAATAATGAGTTCTTAAACACACATAATGATATTTTCCATATGACTCAAATAAGATCAGGACCTAGTGAAAGTCTTCGCAAGTCTATTGGTACAAGCAAAGATGTGATATCGACAACCAGGTTATTGTCTGGAAGGGAAATTAATTCTTCAGGAAATGGGAAGTTCTCTTCAGTTGATCGTGCGTTTCTTCTTGGTCGTTATCTTCCAGTTGATGGCCCTGAAATAGTGGACAGGATGGATTCCCGAGCTTATGTTTCACAGTTTTCTGCTGATGGATCTCTTTTTGTTGCTGGTTTTCAGGTATGCTGTCCTTCAACCAACAAAAGTGAAGGCTTTATTAGGCTCAAGTAAGTAGAGTGTTAATTAGTTTTACTTGCTTCTAATATTTTTTCTTTTATTTCCATTATCAGGGAAGCCACATAAGAATATATGATGTTGATAAAGGTTGGAAAGTACATAGGGACATTCATGCTAGAAGTTTGAGATGGACCATTAGTGACGCATCACTTTCCCCTGATCAACAGTTTCTTGTAAGTTTCTGGCACTTAAACAATGAGCTCTTCATTTCTCTTTAGTCTCTCTATAGATTGTCCTAACTTAGTTCAGTCTTCAAACATGTGTTACACTGTAATGCAGTTCTTTTTCAGCTGATGTCAATCTCTTCCACTGTTTTTCCTGATTGATATATGGATTTAGATGTGTTTACCCATTTACAACAGCACTAGTGGGGTTGATCATTAACTTCTGGGTATTGGGAATGGAAACATGATGCTACTGGGAGATGATGTAAAGGAAAATTTGACATTTCCGTGCGGTATTCCAAAGTTGTGGTTGGTCTGGAAGGCATTATAAAACTGTAGCTATCTGCCAGAGCTCGTTCTGACATAAACAGTATAATCATAGCAAGTACTGCGTCAGTCCCAAAATATAGCAAGTGTGTCCAGATGCATAGCTAAAACTTGCTATATTTTGGGACGGAGGGAGTAGCAAAGGAGTGCACCGTGTTTATTTTCTCTTGGTACAATATTGTTGAGAGAAAAATTCCATATGCCTCCTCTGTCCTTTCCCTTGTAGCATGCCCAAAAGTTCCCGTTTTCTGGGTATAATATGTTCAAAATTCCATTTCTGACGTTTTGAGAATATTCTATATTTTTTCAGATTTTAAAAACGTTTTTCAATTTCCTTAACGTTAGAAGTAGTGACCAATAATATTTAATCAACACTCTAAAATATTCTGTTTAAATTCAAGGTATTGTTTGGAAAATTTATTTTTCTCCATTTTTTTAGTTAAATTCGTATCTTTAACTATTAAAAACAGATGGGATTTTTTGGATTTTTGGGCATACGTGGGATCTGAGATATTCTCTGTGAAACATAAGATAGTGTTCTTTTGATGGGTCGGGTGTGTTGTGACAACTGGCCACCCTTTTGGTGTGTATCCAAACAAATGGTCAATAGCAACACTGTCTTGTAGCCAATTTTGACATCAAATGATTAGTAAAATCCATTTGATAAGGAAAAATTGGGTACATGTTAAAATATTTTTTGTGGCATTTGGTATGACTATAACTCTGTAAGGCGCTGCAAAGAAGTGCTGGTGTTTGTGGTATTTGCAGCTACTTGCTGTATCCTCACACCCATTAGAAGAACCCTTTTTACAGAGATAGAGAAGACATTTTTAGCTTTTAGAGTCTCGAGCAATGCCCTGTCGCAATATTTTCCTCATATGAATGTGCACTTTATATGAAGTTCAGTTTAGTTTACTGGGTAGCTGAGCTGCTGCCTCAAATGTTGTTATTACGGTATTTCTTTATGTCTTTGCTTGCTACACCTTGTCTTTTCCTCGATTATAATCCAGTGGGGACTGTGAACAACTAACCAGCGAGATATGTTATAGTTTTCATTCAATCCTTGGTCCTTTCAGGACATTAGATCACATAATTCTGTATGATGGTTTCTGCATCTCTTACAGATCTATAGAAAATACATGCTAGTCAATTCTTTCTGCTGTATTTATTTATCTAGCCTTCCGCTTATCATTCTCTGTTTACATAGATGTGTAAGGTTGTTATTTTTGACCTATCATTCTTTTGAACTGCAGGTCTACTCCAGTCTAGCACCGATTATCCATATCGTCAATGTTGGGACTGCTGCAAAACAATCATATGCTAATATCACTGTGAGTGATCATCAGGATTTGCACTTCATTACCAGCAGATGCATTCATTCGAACATGCATAGATGTATAGTGGCCTTCAAAAGAAAAAAAGGAGATGCAGAGCTGTCTGTTTTGTACTTTCCTTTGCCTAATTTTATGACATATGACCATCCTGTGTAATGAGCAATCACTAATACCACTAAGGCCATCTTATACTCACACTCCAATTTAAAGATCCACAGTTGATTTATACTTCATACATCTTCCTTTGGGACATTCTTGATCGATTAGATTTGTTGCAGTATAAACATGTCCACTATACATTTGTATTATTTTCTTATAAATTCTTTGTTCTTTCATTTTCTGCAGGACATCCACGATGGACTAGATTTTTCACAGCATGAAGATGTTCGATATACATTTGGAATATTTTCTGTTAAATTCTCTTCTGATGGCCGAGAGCTTGTTGCTGGCAGTAACGATGATTCAATATATGTTTATGACCTTGTGGCAAACAAACTAACGTTGCGTTTGCCTGCTCATCATGTATGATAATTTGGTTGTTTTCATGGCTTGTATCTTTATTTAATCTTCTTAATCTATTTCTTAAGTTGGTTATGGGCTCTTTCCATATTTGATCTCTAATGTGTTCCCCCCTACTTTTCCAGTCTGATGTCAACACAGTAGCATTTGCTGACGAAACTGGCCATCTCATATATTCTGGAAGTGATGATAATTTATGCAAGGTATCTTGATGTTGTAAATTATTTATTCCTTCTACAATAACATATTCATTGAACTGTTCTCATATTTTCACAGCAAATCTGAGCATGTGCCTTTTTTATGTTATCTTTAGCTGCAACTTGCAACCTCCATATATCTGAAAGACTGAAATTTCTGGTTCTAGATGATTTTTGTTTCATCCAGAGTAGCAAAGTATATGCCATAGTGCTGGTTGGTTTCAGTATCTGTACTACTTACTTTCATTGTTGCTCTCAAAAAATATACCTAAATAAAATGAGTTTAGGTTGGGTTAGATGTCAAAAAGACAAAGGAAAAAGTTGCTAATAAAAACCATTTTTTCATATTGCTGCTGTTCTAACTTTTGACCAAATCCCAGAGTGTTCCCAGATTGCAAGGTGCAATAATAGGATTAAGTTAAATCCTTCATATCTCTTCTTTTTGCTGGTAATCCTCCTGTGCACTGATACAAATGCATATCATTCTCCTGTTGTTAGTTACCAAAATTTCACCTGCAAAAGAGGTTTTACCACCCGACACAAGATGTTGCTAATATTGGCATATGACAATCACATAATATGTTTACTGTCTAGGTTGTATGACAAGGACCAGGAAAACAGGAATATATGTAGAGGAATTTCCAAATTTGAAACTTTGGACACAACAAAAAAAGAGAGCCTGGAACAATGCACACAAGTTTCAGATGGAGTCTCTTTAAGTATTACCCTGTCTTCTCTCTTCTTTCATTGGGTAAACTTATAGGGCCTGTTTAGCACATGGGTTATGAGAGGCAGGATTGGAATAGTGAAATGGGTGAAAGGGCATTAGGCAAACACCATTGTCTGAAATGAGGTGGAGAGAATGGATGGCTAGGATGCAATTTTACATTTTGATGGGTGGGATATCATTTCCCTATCATTGTTTGCAAAACGAGCCTATATAGTCAGCCATAAAACCATAATAGTTCTACATCCTCATTACTGTGAGAAATGGACTATTCCTGTAAGTTAATCAACTGTATTTATATACACGCCTTCTATCCTTCTTTGTATTGTCTCGAATAGTAGACAGGCTGTTACAAAATGTTTCTCAGGGACAAAAGTAAAAGGTATCCAACATTCACGAACGCCGTGAGGATGGCTGAATAATTAATGCATGGTTTGGATTACTCTGCCTGTTCATGTAGCTTGATAGTTTTGAGAAAGTACTTTTAAAAAAAATCATTTAGAGGTATTGTGTTAATTATCTTTTTTTAATCTGGTACTGTGTTAATGATCTTGGTTTTCTGCAGGTCTGGGATAGGCGATGTTTATCCACAGAAGAACCTGCTGGAGTTTTGACTGGGCATTTGCATGGCATTACTCATATTGATAGCCGTGGAGATGGTCGGTGTTTCATATCAAATGGAAAAGACCAAGCTATCAAAATGTGGGACATCAGGAAAATGACATCCAATGCTGATAGGTAGGTGTTGAGCTATCAACATAAAACGTAAAATTTTAGTTATGAAGACAGGAATTTTACCAATCTTATTGTTTCATGCAGTTATGAAGACAGAACCTCAAATTGGGACTATAGATATTCAAGATATCCACAACAGTATAAGCAACTAAAGCATCCCCATGATCAGTCAATAGCTACATACTGGGGCCATTCAGTTCTTCGTACATTGATCCGTTGCTATTTTTCTCCTGCATATAGGTAACTTCATGATTCTCGGTTCTGATATGTCATATGAAGGATTTTGTATTAGTCAAACTATGTAAAGTAGTAAGTGCTAATGTCCCTTTATGTTTTTTTTTGTTTCTACAGCACAGGACAGAAGTACATATATACAGGATCCTATGATTCTAGTGTTTGTATCTACGATGTGGTATGTCTCTTTTCAACTTTCATGACAGCAATCTACAGATTGCACTGCGCTTGCTATACTCAAGCACCTTTCTTGGATGAATTTTCCTGTTGATTTTTTTTCGATCTTCTTCAAGGAAGTCTGATTCTATTTTTTTAATGCTTGTGTAGTTGCGTACTTGTATATGTGTGTGATTTTTTCTACATGCAAATTGGGGAAATCTGAAATGGCAATAGGCAAACACCATTGTCTGAATATGTAAATAAAACTATCAACCAGATTCTGCATTGTGCATTTGTGCCACATATATTTCTCCCCCTAAAAACATCACTCCAACAAGGTGTTTTTTTTTTCGCCAAAGCCAAAATGACTCTTGCCTTTCCCAGAACCTGAAGACTGCATCCAAATATGTAAGATCTCAGCCAGTTTGGCCAATTCCAGGCTTGTAATAGTTCACATGGTGGTACTGGTATCCTTGACTTGCATATCTCACTGCATGATATCTGTTCTGGCTAGTGCCTTCAATCAAAGCGAAAAATAATATAACTATTTTGGGTGTTCGGGCTATAGGAAACAAACCTTGTATTTATGTCATAGATTGTATACAGCATCGGTTCATATGACTGACCACCTATACGCTGACTCGTTCCTCTAGTGGACAAATGTAATACCATGACCAATTGGCCTATTCGTTCTTTTAGCAATGTAATTAGTCTAGTACCAGCAGGCAGTTGTTGTGCACTTATGCTAGCTTGAGAGTTGTATATGATCTTTGGATAACCTCCAATACCGAATTAGATTATTCCTTTTTTTCTCAAACACGCAAGAGAATTGCATGTAATTAGATTAATCATGTTATGCAAAAAGGAAATGGTATGGGTTACAAATCCATGATGTTACAAAATGCCAGCCCAATTGTTTTGCTTTGCAATGCGTTTTGCTCAAACAGCCTAGGTTTTTTCGCCAGGCCGGTTGAAACCGGCCGAAGTTTATTAAGGGAAAAGAAGGGTTTTTAAACAGCTGTTACAACAGCCTTTGGTAGGCAAAGTCCCTGATGGCTGGCATGCAGCAGCGTTAGAGTAGGGGAAGATGGGAAAGATATTGGGAGCCTCATTGGTTGGCCTCATAAGTCAAAACAAAAGCCAAAATTTAAATTTTCTAACTTGAATTTGAAATTGATTTTAAGATATTTTCAACGTAATTTTTTACACTAACTTTTAAGTCGCTACGAACAAATATATAAAATTTTTATCGATAAATTAATATTTATTCGCAAATAAACTGTTTTGATTTATTAGAGAATATGGACAACTGATGATGCTCCAAATTACATGCCATCTTTTAAAGAGTAGTTGGATCTGTGACAGTGCAAAAAAATTAAATTCATTCCGTACACTGAAAACCTATTCTACCACAGAATAGGCGACAAAAAGTGTACCGTTGTCCTCCCTTCACCATAAGTATTCTTTTGACAATTTCTTTGTCCATATTGTTACTTCAGTAACATAAGGATTCTTCAGACAATTTCTTTCATCTTGTTACTTCAATTAGTATTTCGAAAGGCTCATATTGCACTATCTTGTTCCATGTTCAGGTGAGCGGATCACAAGTTGCAAAACTCAAAGGATATCATCAGCTGGCAATTCGAGACTGCAGTTGGCATCCCTTCGACCCTATGCTTGTCAGCTCATCCTGGGACGGCCGGGTTGCCAAGTGGTCCAGGTCTTCCTGTCAGCAAGAAGAGACTACTGATCTCGATTGATTCGGTGCTTGCGATCTTCCATTAGCATATATGCAGATAATGGCACGAAACAAATGGGTTTAAACAGATTACACAGTTTGGCTAGATATTAGATATATTGTGAAGAAGATGGCGCGTCGTAAAAAATGGATACTCGTAGTCAGAGTCATGCGCTCGTCCGGGAATACACAGAGTTTTCTTTGGTTGTCTGTACAGCGTTTCCCTTGGTGGAGCTTTACATGTGGTCCGTATACATGTCAATCTGTATATGTCACTGATTTATGGAGCATGAGCTGGGAGTTAATTTGATCCGTGCAGGAGCGGAGTAAATTTGCTTTCACAATCTACATAAATTTGTAATGCAATTTCCAAAGATCCAAGAAATAGCAGTACAGATCTGCCAACATGGGCAGGATCAGGAGCAGATGACGATCGAAAGAACGGTGTTGTCACACGCAACCAGACGTGAGGTGAGAACAGATCAAATGCCGGCATATGCCGATGCCTACTTCTTCCCGCCGCTCTTTCCCTTGGCGCCGGCGCCGCCGTTGCCGCCCTGCCCGGTGGCCTGCGCCGCCTTCCTGGCCGCCTTCTCCTGCAGCGCCTTGGCGTCCCTCTCGCGGCGCTGCTCCGGCGTGAGCCCGTCGTCGCGCCCCTTCACAACCGGCTTCCGCGCCTGCGCCCTCTGCCTGTCCCGCTCCCTCTGGTCGCCGCGTGCGCACCCTCCTCAGGTCAAGGACAACACAGTACGAGCAGCGCAATCCACAGATCCAAAAAAACATCACACGAACACGCGCGGTAAAAAAACAGAAAACAATTGAAAAATAAATTCCTTAAACTCTACTACAGACCAAAGAAGGAACATAATAACTCCTTAAAATAGAAAAATAGTGAGAAAAAAAAACATTTTGTTGTGGCGAAGGATATGAGTCATAGCGGTGAAATTATAAGAGGTCGCAAGAGCGTGGGGGACGAGACGGTGGCAAGGAGGAAAGAAATGGAGGAAGAAGTATCTAGAAGCAGCGGGCGGCTGCTGTTGACAAACTTTTGTGTCGTGAGGCCGAGACGGGCGGAGCGCTCGGGTGCCCGGGATTTATGCAGGGGAGAGATCCGCGGCCGAGTCTGTTTCCAGAAGCGTCCACCCGTTCTGGAACCTTCCCAACACCGTAAAAGAGAAAAAGAAAAAAAAAGGAAAAAACGGAAACGGGACCGGCTGGCACCGTCCGTTCCAGCGTGCGCGCGACGCGGTCCCGCCGGAAGCATGGAAGAATCCGGGGCGGCGCCGCTGTCGGGCCGCGCAGTAGCGTCACGGCCTCACGGGTGGAATAAGTCCACTTTGACTCCCTTAAAAGTGACCCGAATCTAATCCATGACCCTAAACCGTAAAATCGGATATCTCGACCCCCGAACTATTAAAACCGGTGCAATTTGACTCTCTGGGTGGTTTTGGAGGGTGGTTTCACTGACATGGTGTTGACGTGGCGGTGTTGACCTAATCTGTGTGATTGACGTGGCGCTTATGTGGCATTTGAATTAAAAAGTATACGTGGGACCCGTTTGTTATTCACACACATAAAAAAAATGTGGGCCCCACTGACCTCTCTCTCTTTCTTCTTCCTCCTCTCTTCGTCCCTTCTCTCTTTCTTTCTCTTTCTCTTCTCTCCCCTTCGGCCGGCCGCGGGGAGCACGGGCTGGAGCGGCGGCGGGTGGGGGCCAGAGTGGTGGCGGCCGGCGGGAGCTGAAGCGGCGGCGGCTACGTGCAGCTCTCTGGCGAGATACCTTCCCAGATCGGCGCAATGCGGAAGCTCAGCTTGCTCCACCTCAACAACAACCAGCTCACGAGTCAAACTTGAGCTCCCGACGGCAGCGGCGCGGCCGGTGAACCCCATCGAGCTCGATGTCAGCTGCCCGTCCGTGGGAAGGGAGGAAGGCGGCGGTGAGTTGGGGACCGACAAAACTACTCGAGCTCGAGCTACGAGCCCGACGTGCACATGACAGAGTAACGGACCGAGGAAGGCGTCGGGGAAGACAAGGAGAGGTGGTGGAGGGCGAACCAGAAGACGAGTCAACGGCGATGGAGTTGGTCGAGTCGGGTGGTGATTGTTGGGTTTAGTCCCACATCGGTAATTGATGGTGGGGGAGCACGACTTAAAAGGTGGGGGCGGTCCTCACCCATCAGACTAGTCTTTTGGGTTGTGTAGGCGCAGGACCTAAAGTTGTGGCTCCGGTTGGGCCTGTGGTGGAGCAGGCCCAATGTGACCTGGGTGGCCCATAGTTGATGGGCCGGGCTGCGTACTCTAACAAGTGGTATCAGAGCCCAAGGTTTGAAACCTGGAACAATTTCCATGGGTCATATGGTGGAGAGGCCAGGTAACAAGTCTTCGGGGTCACATGGGTTGATGTGACGGGGGAGATTGTTGGGCCTGAGGCCAGGTAACAAGTCTTCGGGGTCACATGGGTTGATGTGACGGGGGAGATTGTTGGGTTTAGCTCCACATCGGTAATTGATGGTGGGGGAACACGACTTAAAAGGTGGGGGCGGTCCTCACCCATCAGACTAGTCTTTTGGGTTGTGTAGGCCCCGGACAAGTCTTCGGGGTCACATGGGTTGATGTGACGGGGGAGATTGTTGGGTTTAGCCCCACATCGGTAATTGAGGGTGGGGGAACACGACTTAAAAGGTGAGGGCGGTCCTTTTGGGTTGTGTAGGCCCAGGACAAGTCTTCGGGGTCACATGGGTTGATGTGACGGGGGAGATTGTTGGGTTTAGCCCCACATCGGTAATTGAGGGTGGGGGAACACGACTTAAAAGGTGAGGGCGGTCCTTACCCATCAGACTAGTCTTTTGGGTGTAGGCCCAGGACCTAAAGTTGTGGCTCCAGTTGAACCTGTGGTGGAGCAGACCCAATATGACCTGGGTAGCCCATGGTTGATGGGCCGAGCTGCGTACTCTAACAGTGATGGCGTCGAGCAGCATGACCCCCGACGGCGAGGTCGACCTCAAGTTGTGCGCCTGCTGGCTGTGGCTGCTGCCAGCCTGCCACCGATGCTCGCTCAGACACTCGCTCACATGGGAGCTCAACAAACTCAGTGCCATAGAGAGGAAGGCGAGGGACAAAAACCTAGAAATTATTCACTTGAGACGTACGACACAACAGAGCAAACACTAGGTCCAGCCATCATCGATGGTGACATGTTGTTCATGACACCCAACGATGGCAACCACGCTCGCCGATGAGAACCAAAACTAACCGCAAATACTTTTGCCATATATATGTCGGCTACATTGTCGCCGCCATCAGGGTGCTCGTCTTTGTGCGTGACCGGGTGCTCGCGCCTCCTCAAGTCCCACTTCGTCGAGCCCGCCGCCATGGCCTCCTCCCCTTCGTCACACGCCTCCCCGCGCACCCCACCGTCACAGGGGGCAGCTTCCATGCCGCACACTCCAGCGCTCGCCCGCCTGCCGCCGCCGCCGTTGCCGCTGTCGCCGCCCCTGCCCGCCGATTGCTACACGAGAGAGAAGGTGAAGAGAAAAGGGGAGAGAAAGAGAGAGAAAGGAGAAAGAAGAAGAGAGAGAGGGGATGACATGCGGGTCCCATAGATATATTTTTTTAAGTCTAATGCCACGTAAGCGCCATGTGGGACGAAGACTAGGTCAACATTACCACATCAGCAAAACCGCCCTCCAAAACCGCTGAGGGAGTCAAATTGTGCTGGTTTCAATAATTCAGGGAGTCATCTTATCCGGTTTTGCGGTTGAGGGTTACGGATTAGATTCGAGTCACTTTTAAGGGAGTCAAAGTGGACTTATTCCCTCACAGGTCGCGCGAAGAATGGTGGGTTGGGCTGTTCGGCCTGTCAGCTCCGAGGCCTTATACGGAGGGAATAAGTTCACATTGGGTCCCTCTATTTGTCGCCCAGTCCGATTTTCGTCCCTCGGTCGCAAAACCGGGTATGACGGGTTCCCCAACTTACAAAACCGTGCAAAAGATATCCCTCGGCAGTATTATGCCCGGTTTTGGATGACATGGCTCCCTTTGACTAGGTCCTTATCCCACATGGTATTGATGTGGTGCTTACGTGGCAATTGGATCCCGGGAAAATAATAATAAAACGTGGGACCCACATGTCAGCTACACAAAAATAATAAGAAAAGGTGGGGCCCATGTGGTCCCACATGTCAGCCCCCTCTTATCTCTATCCCCCTATCTCTCCCTTACAGAACGGCGAGCGGCAACGCAGAGGGGGGCGGTGGGCGGAGCGGCACGCGGCGGCCGGCGAGGAGGGAGGCGGCGGCGGCGGCCGGGCGAGAGGAGGGGCCGCTCGCGGCAGCCAGGCGAGGAGGGAGGCGGTGGGCGGAGCGGCACGCGGCGGCCGGACGAGGAGGGAGGCGGTGCCCAACGGTGGGCGAGGAGGGAGGCGGCGCTCGGCAACCGGGCGAGGAGGGGCGGCGCTATTCTGCTGGGCATCGCAGGCGAAGCGGCCGACGGCGTGGAGCCCGTGCTCGCCAGTGACCTCCTCACGCGCACCGCCAACTCCCGCCGACTGCCGACCCCCACTCCTCTCCCTCCCTCCCATTGGTCGGCGCGCGCGAGAACCACTCGCAAGAACCACGGCAGCGATGGTGCTCCACCACTTCTCGGCGGAGGGCGTCGTCGCGTTCGGAGGCGGCGGCGTGGCCGTGAGGGAGAGGAGGAAGTTAACGACGATGGCCTTCTGCGCCAGCTTGAACTTCCCGTACCACACAACGGTGACGAGAATGTCGCCCCGGAGCACGGCACCACCGTGGTAGGAGATCTCGTCGCCGACGTGGCTCTTCAGCAGCGCGGGCACCCTCCATGCGGCCATGGACACCCCTGCCTGCAAGCTCATGACGAGCAGCGCGGACGGGCGAGGACAGGACGGACGCGAGTTCTGGGCAGAGCGTCGTTGTCGTTGTCGTTATCTTCGGAGACGCCGCAGTGGTCGTCGTCGTGCTCCACCCGCCGCCCCTCCGCTCCACCTGCCGCTTGCCGCCCCTCTGCGCCGCCCGCCGCCGCTCACCATTGTCAGGGGAGAGAGAGGGGGATAGAGATAAGAGGAAGGAGAGATGATGGAGAGAGAGGGGATAGAGAGATGGTAGTGATGATGACATGTGGGGTCCATGTGGGCCCCACCATTTTTTTATTATTGTGTGTGTGAAATTGACATGTGGGTCCCATAGGTTTTATTATTTTTGGGTTCAATTTGCCATGTAAGCGCCACATCAATGCCACGTGAGATGAAGGCCAAGTCAAATTAGCCACGTAGGGGCCACCTCAGCCAAAACCAGGTTAAATACTGCTGATGGATTCTATTTAAACGGTTTCGTAAGTTGAGGGACCTATCGTATCCGGTTTTGCGATCAAGTGACGAAAATCAGACTGAGCGACAAATAGAGGGACCCAAAGTGAACTTATTCCTATACGGAGGCCTCTCGATTGGATCGGTGGGTGCGCCAGAAAGAACCTGGATAGCGGGTGCTGGGCTTGGGCCTTGCCCATGCGATCGGTAGGCCATGGCCGACGGATCAACAGACTACTGAGGTTTAGAAACTATTACTGCTAGTTCAGCTCTAGAAGTCTAGTAGTACTACTCCGTACAAAGCAAAAGCTACCAGCCAAATTGCCTTTCTTTTCACATGAGCCACAGCCACGTCCTCTTCTCCGACGACAAAACCTGCTTTTGCACATACCGCTCAATTCTAAAATTCTATCATCCGTCAGCGAGTATAATAGAGGGCTCCAAGAAGACTGACGTGGTGTTTGGATACAGGACTAAACTTTAGTCCCTATCATATCGGGTGAATTTAGAGCATTAAACATAGGCTACTTATAAAACTAATTACATAAATGAGAGCTAATTCGCGTGATAAATTTTTTAAGCCTAATTAATTCATAATTAGCGCATGTTTACTATAGCATCACATAGGCTAATCATGGATTAATTAGGCTCAATAGATTCGTCTCGCGAATTAGTACAGGGTTATAGAATGGTTTTTATTAATAGTCTACGCTTAATATTTATAATTAGTGTCCAAACATCTGATATGATAGGGACTAAAAAGTTTTAGTCCCATCTAAACAGGGTCTGAATGCTGAGGTGGATGAGAAAGGAGAGGAGATAGATGAGAAGCCGGCTGTAAGTTTACAGCCGGTTTAGACACTGTAACCAAGAAAATCTATGAGACAGACATGTGGACCATATATTTATAGTGAAAAATTAACAACTATATAAGTGAGCTGAGAGATAGGCTATAAAAATCTATATAGTAAGCAGCTGTCTGTATTATTATTCTGTCTCTCAGTCACTGGCGCGAAAGAAGGGATTGCAATTTGCAAAGCTAGAAACCGAACAAACAGTCAAAACTCAAAAGAGCCAGGAATGGAAAGACCAGTGGGCATCACGCTTTCGGAACAACCACGCACTTCACAGGCAGAAAAGAGGAAAGCCGAGGTAAGGTCGCTCGCTCGCTCGTCGGGGCGGCGTGATGAATGATCTCGATGGCAGTTTGTAGTAGTAGTACCACATTTTTGCCCAAGCTAATTGCAGCGACACTCACCGCCTTTCGCCGTGCTGCGTCACTGTCATGTGGGGACAAACTGACATGCCGCTGCCAAACATGTACAATTATCCGCTTTGCATGTGCCATGGCCCACATGGCGGTGAAACGGGGCCCCCACAGGATGTAGGGGAAGAAGGAGTGCTTTGGATCATGTTGAGTTGTTATCACCTCTTTACAGTCTATAGCGAGTACTCCGGCCGAGTAGTCATTCGTTACATGCGTGTGGGGGTGGCAAGGTAAAGAAAGCATCACTAACATGAAACATGACGATGTGAAAAGAAGAGAGGAAAAAAAGAAAGTGAAACAGAGAATTAAATGGCCATCGCGCAGTCACGCTCGCCGCACCACGGCTAATGAAGAGAGAGAGACTTTACCATCGCGCCCGTGTCACGATGAGCCCTTTTATTTCTCGTACGTACCAGTACGTGTACCATCCAAGCCTTCAAGGCCTCGAGGGGATACGTATCGCGTACGAGTTACACCGACAGCCCGGCCGGTATACGTGGCAAAACATGATCTTACAATTCCGACAAAAAAAAACTCACGAAAACACTATCAAACTTTGATAAAATCGTAAACTAGATACATTCAACGTTATCGAAATTCGATAACATCAAAATATGATTTTTGCAACAAAGTGAACAACCCGCTTGTCTCCAACTCGAAACCACCGGAAGCCGAGCAGAGGACGGCTTCCGCCTCGCCGTGCGACGTCCTCCCCCTCTGCGTCGCGAATTTGCTGATCTCGCGCGATTTTTCCAACTGTTGCGTGCAGTTGCAGCTCCATTAAAAACCAGAGCTACCAACTCGCCACAAACCGAGTACGCAAGGACGCACGCACAAGGATCGCTCGTATCGCGTACTGACAGCGAAATTAAGGCGAGACGAGAGTTATGTTTCACTGTGCAAGACGAGTACTGTACACGCGAGAGGGTTTTAAGCCAGGGTTAGGACAGGGAGATGAACAGGGGAGGAGGAGGACGAATGAGAGAATGTGAAGGACATACGAAGGATCAGCTGCATGGAAATCATATCACGTAGAGTAGTTGTTAAAAAAAAAAGAACTCCAATCAAGAAGGAACAACATGGCCTAATGATCGGTTGTATGCAAGTACTCTGGTCCTGCCAGTCTTGCAAATGCAGATAGGATGATTGTTCAGACTTCAGAAGGCCAGCAGATAGATTGATTAGTTAGTTCTCTGCTTTACGTAATGATTGTTCAGTGTGGGGAGCTGCATTGCTAATTCTTGGCTTTGCTTCTGTTTTTGTGATTGCGCCCTGAGCAATCATTCTACAAGCGTGTTATTCATCATCTACCGTTATGCTTTTTTTTCCCCTGAAATAATCATAAAAATATGCTCATCCATAATATAGCCATTGTTTCTCTGACAAGAATGAACTGTGACGAGTAACTGTAACTAAAATGAAGCACAGCGAATGCTTGTGATACTATGCTTGCCCAATGGCAATGCGATATATAAATAACATCACAGATTTCTAACACCACCATCATCATGATCATCATCAGATACATCAATCGATCGTCGCCACCTCACATAACATCAAGAGCCAATGTTTTACTACTCACGCAACTATACAGCAGGGGACACAAAAGAACATACACCACCTAAACACAAAAAAAGGAGAAAGAAATTACGCCTATAAACCCAAGATTATTAAGGAACTTACTTCTTGTCTGTGACTATCTCCATCCATCTCCCCCCAACCAAAAAGAATAGTAATCCACATTGGAACGCTAGTAACTGGACAAATTAATCAAAGAATCGGAGACCGCCATTTGCAATCTCCTCCATTCTTTTCCGGTTTTCTTGAGCTTGGACGATCCGAGGCGATCCGGCAATGGCGTCGGCGTTGTGTTGCCAGCTTTGATTAGCCCCTCCACTCCGGGCACTGGTCGGCCGGCCGGGTGTTCGTCGAGCCGGCCTTGAGCGGGCACGGCGCGTACACCGGCGGCACCATGCAGTTGTACATGAGGCAGAGCGAGACGCTGGAGGGGAGCGACGACGCCGGCGAAATCTCGATGCCGGTGAGGAAGTTGTGCTGCAGGTACAGCACCTGGAGCCCGCCGGAGCCGACCAGCTCCTGCACCAGCCGCGCCGGCACCTCGCCGGTGAACCGGTTGTTATTCAGGTACAGCTGCCCCACGCCGGCGAGGAGCGGCGACACGGGGCCCCAGAAGCGGTTGTAGCTCAGGTCCACCACCTGGATCGTCACGTCGTTCGCCGGCTGGAGGAGGCCGGAGAAGAAGTTGCGCTGCAGCTGGAGCACGGACAGCGGCAATGTGAAGACGGACGCCGGGATTGGGCCGTCGAGCTGGTTCATGCTGAGGTCGAGGTAGTTGAGCCGAGTGAGCCGGGGGAGCACGGAGTCGACGGTGCCGGTGAGCCGGTTCGCCGAGAGCGAGAGGTACTGGAGCGTGCTCGGCAGGTTCGGCACGCCGCCGGAGAGGTCGTTGTGCTTGAGGTCGAGCCGGATGAGCGGCGACGAGTCCGGGAACGACGGGATGCCGCCGGTGAGATGGTTGTGGCAGAGGATGAGGTTGGTGATCGACGGCAGCGTGGCGATCGACGCCGGGATGGTGCCGGAGATCTGGTTGAAGCTGACGTCGAGCGTCCGGAGGTTGGACAGCCCGCCGAGGCCGTCCGGTATCTGGCCGGAGATGAGGTTCTTGCTGACGGCCAAGAATCGGAGGTTCCGGCACGAGCTGAGCGACTCCGGGAGCTCGCCTTCGACGCGCCCGGGCACGAGCGACAGCTCGGTGAGCGCGGACAGCCGCCCCAGCGCCTGGTCGAGCCGCCCGGACAGCCCCGGCGACCCCGCCCTCGGGTCGCCGAGCGCCAGCGCCGACACCTTGTTGCCGTCGCAGAACACCCCGGGGAACCCGCACGGGTCGGCCGTGAAGTCCCACGCTTCGAAGAACGACGAGCCAGGCATATCGTCGAGCGACCGCCGCACCGCCTGCAGCGCCAGGAAGTCGACGGGGTCAAGAATCCCCTCCGCCACCACCGCCCACAACACCACAATGACGCCCAGCCGCGCGAGCACCGCCATCATCCTCGTCCTCTGCCTCTCCCTCTCTCTGTCTCTTCTGCAGCAAGGAAGAACAATGAAAAGCACCGATCAACGCTCGTGGCGCGAGGTGAGAGGAGGTGGTGTGGGGAATCTTTTAAGCTTATGCGAAGGTGGCGCGCCTTCTTTAAAGCGCGCGAACGGCGTGGGTGGTGGCGGCGCTGGGCGTTGGCTGCTCCCGTGAGGGGAGGAAGTGAGCTCCGCTTCACTCACTCTCTCTCTCTCTCTCTCTCTGATCACCTCGCTTTCTCGTGGACGAAGAAGCTGGAGGCGGTGCGTGAGCGCCTTTAATGGCGGGGGTGGTGGTGGGTGGGTGCGGGCACCGTACCACCGCCGCTCGCGCGCACACACGCCCCTGTACTGCAACCGCAACCGCAACAAGCCTTTGCCGAGAAGCTAGCTAGCCAGCCAGCCGCCGCGCGCTGCGCGGTAAGAAGAAAAATACTTAAGAAGCTAGCGTCGTGCGCCCGTGCGGGGGCGAGGAGAGGAGGAGTCGAGCTCAGATCTTGCGGCGGTGGCGCAATGATGGTGGCTTGGCGAGGAAGGACGGAGGTGGTGGTGGTGGAGACGATGTGGCGACACTAATCAATTCGCTCCTCTCTCTCCCCACAACCTCTCGCTGCTTTTGCTCTCTTTCTCTCTGCTGCTTCCTCTCTCGCGACGAACTCGCAGCAAGAACTCGCCCACTGCCCCCACTACTACTGAAGCACGACGCGGCCACCCTCCCCTCGCCTCATTGGCGGCGCTCGCGCGTCCCTCCCGTTGAACCGATGGGTCTCCGATTTTTTTAGTGCCGACCCGCAAACGGCTAGTTCGTCCCTGAGGCTCGGTGTGGGTCCGAGGCCGTCCTACGGGAGGATGACATGTGGGGTCACGGTCTCACGTGGCAGTTGGGCGCCATCAATTCCACTGACCTCGGGTGCCGAGCCACCGGCTTTCCCCCCATGTAAAACCGAGAAACCATCGTTAGGCTGCCAGTGGGGCCAGCGAACCGTTGGGCCCGTGTGACAGTGGATCCGCCCGTGTGGGGCTCGTGGATCTACCGGGAGGCGTAAGGTGGGCCGGAACACGACGCGGGCGTAACGGGCTAGTGACCTGGTGACATGGTTAGCTGCACAGCCCACATCGGCCAGCGTGGTCGGTGCTCCGTTTCGTGGCTTTGTCCTGTCCGGTTCGCCTAGTTGGCGCCTACTAGGTAAAAAAGGGCACTGATGCGGTATGGAACTCGCGTAATCCTGGATTACCTTGCTGTTAATTTAGTCCTTTTACCCACTCCGTGACGAAACGAGAGTAGGATACGCAACAGCAGCTGATGGGACGCACGGCGTTTTGTAGCGTATGCAACGGTGGCAGTACAACGGATAGGGGACGAGTATTGGCTCGTACAAACCATCGGGCGCGAGCAACTGAATCTACCTGCACGGGTTCATGGCGAGAAAACTACGCAATCCGTTCGGTATTCTCTGTGATAAACATGGGCAGTTTATCCGGAGACAGTATGACATGGGAGGTCGCTTTCGACCGGATGACAGAGAGAGATCCTGAATAATTCGCGCGAAGCACATGCGAAAAAGTTACAGTCCGTATCGTCGGCTCTGTTTGTGCTTCCTTCAGCTTCACCCGAAGGCCCACCCACCCACGTCGGCGAAAGTGGCAAACATGGACGAGGAGACTGGCACCGAATCACCAGGCCCACCTGTCAGCGGCGGTGAGTCGCCGAGCAAGCAAAAAGGAAAGTGGCTTTTGGTGTTACAGTGGTTCTCTTTTTTCTAGAGCCTGAAGTAGTTTGGACTTTGGTTGGTGGTCTGGATCATTTTTCACCCATCTAAAAAAGATCAAAATTTCATCTTCCATAGTTCCATTATTATTGTCTTGTTGGATAAACAGTTGGACTGATTGACCTGGACAGAATGTGGAGGACTTGTCAGACCGTGGGGCCTCGAAGCCAACGGTAAGAAACAAGTGGGCGTGTTGGGGCATTGCCGGCTTGTGAGCAGCACGGTGTCCGGTCGCTGCTTCGTGCGACGAGTTGTTTTTCCGGCCACGATGAGGCCGCTCGCCGCGCACACGCTAGCACGAACTCGGTCAGCTTAGCTTAAGTACCAAACGCTCGCAGAGAATCACTGTAATTACATTTCTTGAAATGCGTAGAGGTGGACATAAATGTAATAATACCCGCGGTTTGACTTTGAAGTAAGTATACTCCCTCCTGTTATATACCCCCTCCGTTTTTTAATAGATGACGCCGTTGATTTTTTCTCACATGTTTGACCATTCGCCTTATTCAAAAAATTTATGTAATTATAATTTATTTTGTTATGAGTTGTTTTATCACTCATAATATTTTAAGTGTGATTTATATCTTATACATTTGCATAAAATTTTTGAATAAGACGAATGGTCAAACATGCGAGAAAAAGTCAACGGCGTCATCTATTAAAAAACGGAGGTAGTAATAATTGACGTTTTGGATAAGGTTGAAGTCAAACTTTATAACTTTGACCATCAATAACTTTTAAAATATTTAGTTTAAAGATACTAGAACAACATATATAGATTTATCATTCAAATCACTATAATAAAAGTGAGCATGTATTTATTTATTGTATATCTTATAATAGAAAAATAAAGTCAAAGATATATTTTGTATACCATGTCATTGTCCAAAACGTCAATTAAAATGAAACTGGAGTGGAGGGAGTACTACAGAGAGTGATTAGGCCCAGCGAGAATAATAAGAAAATGTAGCTGCTCGTTACGTTCATTAATTAATTAATTAATTATTAATCGGATGGATTGGGACGATAGCCGTGGTGCTAATTAAGTTTGCACGGCTGTCTGGTTGCATGATGTCTGAACTTAATTAATCAGAAACCTCATATAGGAAATTAGGAGCGTCAATTTCAATTCCATTTCCATCATGAGCCGAACAAGCGAGGGCTTAAGGGAGACACAATAATGGTGCCTAAACCTTAGAAGGCAAGAGATGACTATATACTTAAATTGACGTTCGGTTAGTCTAACTAAAAGGTGGGTTCTCAAGCATGTCGCCAGGCTGGCAACTGGGCACACATAAACATTTTGTAACAGTCGTGCATTAGCCATTTAGCCTTTGCACAATTGTGCTTAGAATCTAGTACTAGTACTTCATTCCATTCAGAAGGTTCTACGTAGTTCCTATATACTTGATCATACTACCATTTTCCCTAGCCTTTTTTCCGGGGACGCCTACGCATCGGACGTCCGATAGATGCACTAAAATCGGACGTCTCTCTAACAGCTCTCTCTCACTACCTCTTGCATGCATGTATACATACTTATTTACCCAGTTATAAATAGTTTTATCTAATAATTTATCAATCCAATCTACGGTATAATTATATCATTGTAATCATTATAACAAGATATGTCCACATCGGACACGACTCTTATCTCTAACAAACTCTAAGATACCATAAGTCTTTGCGGCAGACTTTTGCCCAAACATATCTCTAAGGAAATTACATAAAATATCCTAATTAATAGATACAATTGCCTTCTGAGGACTCTATCCATGCGTGGCAATCATTATGAAGCACATCAACCTAAACCGACAACGTATGCTGTGTCATACTGTCGGATTCGGCTTAATCGGCTAACCCCGTCTGACTCGAACTCTGCCGATCTTAGCCGTAGCCGATTCGGACTCCAGCCGATCTTCACTCTGTTTCCGGGACGATTTCCATCTCGACTTCTTCTCGATTTCTTCTCCATCTCCGATCCTTAGATTACCAAATTTGGTCGTTAACACGGCTTTGCCAATGTACTCCTCTACGGCTCGCCCGCTGCCTCCCTTCTTTATTGTCATTGAGATTTTACAATTGAACATGATTATCATTGTTTTTTTTACTTTTTAGAAGTTCTGAACCTTTAAAATTGGACTTGTACTTTCATTTTTTATAATTTTTAAAAGCCCCATCAAATGATGCCACTATACCCCTGTATAGTCCGTCCGCCGCCTACTCTTTATTATCATTGTGATTCTAAAAATCGAACATAACTATCGTTGGAATTCATTTTTTATTTTCTAGAAGTCCCCTCAACCGTCGGCGGCTCCGCAACTATACCCTTATACACCCCGTCCGCTGCTTATCCTTTTTATTGTCATTAGGATTTTAAAAATCAAATATGATTATCAATGGGGTTTGTTTTTTTTACTTTTTAGAAGTCCCGGCAACTGCCTTACTCGTTTGCTTCACGGCCTGTCTAATGTCCCTCCTTTTAATCGTCATTAGGATTTTATTTGGTGTTTTATTAATAATTTTTATATATTGTATCAACCGCCTGCACCACTCTACTTTTTATAGGCCTGTTACTTAATTTATCTCGTCATGTGCTTTAGATGGTTTTTTCTTTCAATAATCTTTATTTTTATCAAAAATTTTAGTTATTAATAAATTGTATTCCTAATTGAAATCTTATTTTTCTTTTTCTAATCTCAGATTTTTTTTAAAAAAAATTAGTTAATATTGTATTGTGTTCTTTTAATGTTTTTATTTTTTATTTTCAATTTTAGTTGTTTCAAAATTGTATTCCTACTTGAACTCTCTTTTAATTTTTCTAATTTTAGATATTATTTTATTTTTTATTCTAAATTTTAATTAATCTCGTATTGGGTTTTTATATGGATTTTTCTTTCACTATTGCTTATTTTTAATTCCGAATTTCAGCTAATTTTAAATTGAATTCCTACTTGAACTCTTCTTTTATTTTCTTTTGCTAATTTCGGATTTATTTATTTTTATTTCGAATTTTAATTAATCTCGTATTGGGTTATTATATGGACTCTTCTTTTAATATTCTTTATTTTTAATTCCGAATTTCAGCTATTTTAAATTGTATTTCTACTTGGACTCCCATTTCCTTTTCTAATTTTGGATTTTATTTTATTTTTTGAATTTTGATTAATCTCGTATTAGGTTCTTATATGGAAACTTCTTTCAATATTGCTTATTTTTAATTTCGAATTTCAGCTATTTTTAAATTGTATTTCTACTTGGACTCTTCTTTCCTTTTATAATTTTGGATTTTATTTTAGTTTTATTTCGAATTTTGATTGATCTCGTATTGGGTTCTTATATAGAAACTTCTTTCAATATTGCTTAGTTTTAATTCCGAATTTGAACTATTTTTAAATTGTACTTCTACTTGGACTCTTCTTTTCTTTTTTTTTCTTTTTATCCTATTAATGTGGGAATTTCTAGCTCTCACAACGAACGTGGTGCCTCCTTTCAAAGCTGTTTTAATAATATAATAGATTAAATCTTAGCAACAAGATCTCATATGGTTATATTTTGATAAAAAATCGAGCGTTGTTTCACCCCTTATAGAAAAATTGTTTCATCATGTAATTAAATGTGTTTCAAAGAGATGCAACATTTCGATAATACTGACTGCAACATCGACAATTACTGCATGAAACATTTAGTCCTAACTAATGAAACATTAAAAAAGTCATGTGAAACATAATATATTCACAAGAATAATTAATTTGCTAAAACATTTTTTAGACTGTGGGAAAAATATGTGTAACATTTATAAATGGAATAGTGAAACACTAAGAAATACTTATTGAAACAACTGAGTAAAACTATGCGCAACATTAAAAAATAAGTTTTAAAAAATAATCAGAATATAATCGAGTGAGGTCTTGTTGTAAAGATTTAATTGTAACGAATCAAATAGTACGATCAAATTATTGACCAGATAAGTAAAACAGAAAAAAAAAGTT